CCCCCAAGCAAACCCCCCCCACCCCGCTCCCGGCCACCCCCTTTCCAGGCACTTACTTTCGGAGGGGGCCCGCACGGGGGGCAGCGGGAGAAGACCGAGGACCAGCAGCATCACCCCCAGCCGCAGGGCACCCAGTGCCCTCGCCCCCATCCCCGAGCGGGACCCCCGGGGTCCCGTCCCCGTCCCCGTCCCGCCTCAGGCGCTGCTGCACTGTGTCCGGCCAAGCACGTCGTGTCCGGCCGGCACTCCCCACCGGCACCCACGGCACGCCGGGATAGGGGTGGCCCCCCACGGCCCTCGCCCGGGCTCTGCGGCCCCTTCACTTTTGTTTTCGGTTGCGGCACACAAAATATTTAGCCTGACAACTGTCAGGGCCAGGGCCAGGGCTTGTTTGGGAAATAGAGAGGGGGAAAACAGGGCGGCCCCCCCGTGCCAGAGCGGGCTGGGAAGGAAGGGCTGCCTCCTGCCTCAGTTTCCCCAGTTGGAGCAGGAGGATCCAGGTTGCTCTGGTGTGGGGATGCCAGGAAAGCAGCCGAGCACCGGCGGAGACCTTGCCAGAGCGGCACAGAGGGGACGACCCAAGGGTCACCCTCCATTGCGGGTGCCAGGACCCCACGTCCCCTGGGGTCCCCAGGCCCCAGCAGCCCTGCAGCGAGGAGGAGGAGGAGTGGGAGGAAGCTGTGGGCGTTCGGCACTGGCTTGTGCAGACACAGCAGAGGAGGATGGATGAGGGGGAGACATTTATTTCTTGCACTAGAGTCAAGCATGGGCGAGGGTCCTGGCCGTGGGGCAGCCCTGGCCCCGCTGCAGCAGAGACCTGGGGGCAGGAGGGGGCAGCTGCTGCCCCAGTGACCCTCCAGCACCATGGAACTGGGAGCACTGGGCCAGACAGTGCTCCTGCCCCGTGGGCTGGGGAAATGGGGGGACCCCCAGGGCTCCTCTCATGGGATGGGCCCTCTTGGGGGGTCCTGTCGGCTTTTGGGGGGGTCTCAGGAGCAGCTGCTTCTCCGCCGGCGCAGCAGCGTGACGGGGTGGCTGTCCTTCTCCTCCTGGTCGCTCTCGCAGCAGCGCTGGGGGCACAGGGGGGCTGGAGGGCAGGGACAGGACCCCCCAAGGGAGAAGACACCCCCCAGGGGAGAGGAACCCCCCTAGGAGAGGGCACCCCCAGGGGACAGGATCACCCCCCAGGGGACAGGGCACCCCCCAGGGGACAGGTCACCCCAGCTGGGGACACCCCCCATTGCCCAGCCCTCCCCCCTCCATTTGGGGGACCAAGCCCCCCGAACTCCCTTCTCCCCCAGCCCGTGCCGGGGGGGGTCTGGGGGCTTCTGGCCGCTCACCCGCTCCCC